CATCTCTTTTCTCCCCCATTTTTAGTTTTATTTCCCTGCCAAATCATGAGAGTTACTGTTTGCCATTTGCTGTGCTAAGGTTCAGGGACTGTTGTTATTTCTCTCACCCCTGACCCATTATACGGCTGAGGAAATTGAGGTGCAGAGAAGTTAAGGGACTTCATTAAGGTCACATAGCTAGTAAGTGCAACAAGCAGAACTATAGTATTCTAGAAATCATGGTCTTAGCTACAGGCCCACATTGCTACCACCACCCTCTCTCATTCCCCTTCCCTTCCTAAATTCACTTTGCTCCTCTAATTAGCTGCTGTCTTCTGTCCATGGCCACATTCCCATTCCTGTACTCACTTTGTGTCACAACCATTAATTGTACAGTTTGACATTTCAAAGAGGTTATTGTACCAAACATTGTGCTAAGCACTTTATATGCATCGTTTTATTTAATTCTTATAACAATCCTGTGAGTTATGTGCTAATATCCTCATCTTACAGATTGGGAAAGAAACATTTGGAGGGGAAATTATTTCCTAGGAAATGCTTAACAGTGTCTTTGCAACCTTTGTCTATGTTTAGGTGGGATTAACCATGACATATGTAGACCGATTTTGTATCACAGCTGTAAATTTGTGGATAATGAGCAGATGAATTCAACATGTTTGTGGAAGCAGAGGTTTGTGATGGAAACTATCTGCTTTGTCCATAGTATTTGGGGTACCAGGAGGACTGAGTGATCAGATTAGTTTAGTTAGTGGTGACTCTGACTTCCACTCAAAGTTAATCACTCCTTTTCCTGTACTACTGGCACCTTACATGTACTTCTGTCATTGCATCAGACTTGATTTTTTTTTGAGTTGGAGTTTCACTCTTCTTGCCCAGGCTGGAGTGCAATGGTGCTATCTCGGCTCACTACAGTCTCTGCCTCCTGGGTTCAAGTGAGTCTCCTGCTTCAGCCTCCTGAGTAGCTGGGATTACAGGTGCCTGCCACCTTGCCTGGCTAATTTTTTTTGTATTTTTAGTAGAGACAGGGTTTCGCCATGTTGGCCAGGCTGGCCTTGAACTCCTGACCTCAGGTGCTCTGCCCACCTCAGCCTCCCAAAGTGCTGGGATTACAGGCATGAGCCACTGTGGCCAGCCCAGACTTGATTTCTTTAAGGGCAGGGCCTATTGCTTACTGTTTGCACCCCTAATGCCTGGCCTAGTGCATGGTACGTAGTAAACACTTCGTAAATGTTGGGTGAACTGAAATGTGGTTTTCTCTTTTAGGAGGGCTTCCTTATGAACTGACTGAAGGGGACATCATCTGTGTGTTCTCACAGTAAGTCGCCGTTCATTTCCTGCCTCCTGAGTCGACAGAGTACTTTGTTTCTATGATGCATTTTGTGGCATCACAAAAACCACTTATTTTCACTCTAGGCTGAATGGCATCACTGCATGGGGAGGGTTGGAGATTCTGCTCTAGTCTGGATCAGTCCCAGGACATGGTTCTAGAATGTTCTCCTGTGGGAGATCCAAGAAGTTGGTTAATTTGGGAGGCCATCTTGGGAATTCAGGTCTATTTCTGTTGTCTTTCACTGAGGCCTGTTCAGCCTGGGCCTAGACTAGAACAGATTGGAACCCTCAGGAAGGTACCATGTTGGTCCGCCTCCTTGGCTTTTGCAAACTAGGGGTAACCCATGGTCACAGGGCCCTTCTGGCCCTAACCTGTGTGGCATCATAGGATTGGGGCAAAACACAGAAGAAGTGGGGTAAAAAACAGAAGGTATAGGTTGTAGTTTGCTTTCTTTGTTTCTCGATGAGTGTAAGGTTAGTGAGCAAAGCCAGTCTCTACCTGGAGGCTGAGAATCACAGGCTGATGAGGAACAAGAATGAATAGGAGACCTGTATATTCTTCATTCTGCTGAGCAGTAGCACTTGGTAGGAGAGGGTGTTGGCGGCTCATACTGGTAGTAGCAGCTGGTAGGAGAGGGGCTGGGCAGACTGGCATGCAACCCCAGAGCTAAACAGCACAGTTAGTCCACAGGACCAGAGGACCTTGGTAGATCACAGGTGCAGAGGAGCACTATGTTTGGGTTTTGTGGGCCTTGGGAACATAGTACAGAGAAGTTGGATGGCATGTACCGCTAGAGGACCATGGCAAAAGGGGCTGGCCAGGCAAACAGGTAGCATACCCTGGCAGAGGGATTGCCATGGCAGGATGGTAGGGCCATCCATGGACAGAGGGCCCTGGCCAAGTGGTTGGGCCACTTATGGGGCAGCAAGCCATGGGAAAGGAATTAGGCAATACCCGTGAGAAGAAGGCTGTGATAGAGAACCTGGGCAACCCGCATGGTTGGAGGGCCCTGGCAGGGACAAAGATTGCTTCCTCCAACTTCTGGATGTTGGGAAGTTAACAGCAGGTGCAGCCTATAATTTCTACCCCATTTGTGGTACTTCTACCCAATTCAGCCTTCCATCTTGGAGCTGTTTAGTTCTACATACACTGAGTGATGATCAGTTAGCATGTGTGTGTGTGTTAGTTTATTCTGATTCTCTATTCTGGTTAATCTCCATGAAGATTGCCTTTGCCGCTAATAACAGTGCCTTTTGAAAAACTACTTTGTTGGCCGGGCACAGTGGCTCACACCTGTAATCCCAACACTTTGGGAGGCCGAGGCGGGCGATCACGAGGTCAGGAGTTTGAGACCAGCATAGCCAACATGGGGAAACCCCGTCTGTACTAAAAATACAAAAATTAGCTGGGTGTGGTTGTGCGCACTTGTAATCCCAGCTGCTTGGGAGGCTGAGGCAGGAGAATTGCTTGAATCCAGGAGACGGAGGTTGCAGTGAGCCAAGATTGTGCCACTGCACTCTAGCCTGGGCGACAGAGTAATACTCCTCCATTTCACAAAAAAAAAAAAAAAAAAAGGAAAAACGACTTTGTTTGATTTTGAAGGTAATATATAGTCATTATAGAACATTTGGCAAAATAAAAAAGTGTAAAGAAAATAAAACATACTCTTAAGGAAAACCCTAATGTTTTGGCATATCTATTTATCATTTAAAAAAATGTTGGACGTAATTTCCAATGGTTTGCTATTATGTGAATTATACTGCAATGTACATTATAGTATATAAATTTTTCAATGTATCCCTCATGGTTTCTTTAGTGAAAGAGGAATACAGATCAATATGTTAGCATGTTAAAGATGTTTTATAAATATTGCCAAATTGCTCTCCAAAAGGTTGTATCAATTTCCACAGTCACTAGGATGCCCATTTTTCTGAACCCTGATTAACAATGGCTATTTTAAAAAATATTAGCCAGAGGGCTTCTCATTATTACTTTACTTTGCCTTTATTTCATCATCAGTGAGGTTGAATATCTGTTTATAGATTAGCAGCCCATTAGTCTTTTTTTTTTTTTTTTTTTTTTTTTGTAAATTGTCTATTCATATCCTTTGCCAACTTTTTTCTACTGGTATTTTCCTGTTGATTTTACATGAGCCCTTCATGTAAGAAGGATATTATCATTTGCTATAGCACTTTGTTGTATATTGCATTACAGGTTGAGTATCCCTTATCCAAAATGCTTGGAGCCGGGTGTGGTGGCTCATGCCTATAATCCTAGCACATTGGGAGGCCGAGGTGGGTAGATTGCCTGAGCTCAGGAGTTCGAGACCAGCCTGGGCCACATGGTGAAACCTTGTCTCTACTAAAATACAAAAAATTAGGTGTGGTGGCGGGCACCTGTAATTCCAGCTACTTGGGAGGCTGAGGCAGGAGAATCATTTGAATTGGGAAGGCAGAGGTTGTAGTGAGCCGAGATAGCACCACTGCACTCCAGCCTGGGTGACAGAGCAAGACTCTGTCTTCCAATTTCAGAGGTTTTTTTTTTTTTTTTTTTTTGGATTTTGGAATATTTGCATAAACGTAATGAGCTATCTTGGGGCTGGGACCCAGATCTAAACATAAAATTCATTTATGTTTCATATACACCTTATGACTACACAGAAACAGGGTAATTTTATACAGTATTTTAAAATAATTTTGTGTATGAAACAAAGTTTGTGTGCATTGAACCATCCGAAAGTAAAGGTGTCAGATATGGAATTTTCTACTTCTGACATCATGTTGGTGCTCAAAATGTTTCAGACTTTGAGGCATTTTGAATTTTGGATTTTCAGATTAGGGATGTTCAGCCAGTACTATGAGCTTGCTTTTTCTTAATTAAATATGTTATTATACTATCATTTTTTTCTTGATGCTCAAATTTTCCCTATTTGAGGGTCAACATGAGTTCCTTCAAGCCATGCCTATATTCTTTTTTTTTTTTAAAAATTCTTGGTTTGAAATAATTTCAGGTTTGATACAGGAACATTATAAAATGGTATAAAGAACATCTGTATCGCCTTCACCCAGATTCCCCAGCTGTTAGCATTTTAATTTAATTGATTGATTGTTGTGAGACAGGGCCTTGGTCTGTCACCCAGGCTGGAGTGCAGTGGTGACATCATAGCTCACTGTAGCCTTGAGCTCCTGGGCTCAAGCTATCCTCCTGCCATGGCCTCCTACAGTATTGGCATTACAGGCATGAACCACCACACCTGGCCAACATTTACATTTGTTTTGTCATTATTTCTCTCCATGTATACATACTACAATTTTTTTCTGAATCATTTGGGAGTCAGCTGCAGATTTGATGCTTATTCCTAAATTCTTCAATGTGTGTTTCCCCCAAAACGAGGACATTGTCTTGTTTAACCTTAGCACAGTGATCAAGTTCAGAAAATCAATACTGATGCAGTATTACTATTTAGTTTATAGACTATTCAGCTTCACTGGTTGTCCTGATAATGTCCATCATAGCAAAAGAAAAAATTGTTTTCTGGTTTTTTATCTGTGATATAAATTATAAATATTTTCTCCCAGTTTATTGTTGACTTTGTTTATTGGGATTTTTTGCTAAGCAAAATCATTTTATTTTTATGTATTCATTCATTGATATGTTTAAATTAGCATATGGTAAAATGGACTTTTTTGAGGGGGGAGGGTGCACCCCTGTGAGTTTGAATAGATTTATAGATTTGTATAATCACCCCCATAATTAGAATGAAGAACAGTTCTATCACCCCAAAAAACTCTCTCATGCTCTCTCTTTATAGTCTCCCCTTCAGTATTTTATTTTTATGTGCTTAAATTTATCAATCTTTTTTTATTGTTTCTGGATTTTGAGTCATAATTGGAAAGTAATCTCCCCCACCCACCCACCTGTGTTCTCTTCTGGTACTTGCATGGTTTCAATTTTTTTTTTTTTTTTTTTTTTTTGAGACGGAGTCTGGCTGTGTCACCCAGGTTGGAATGCAGTGGTGCAACCTCTGCCTCCCAGGTTCAAGCAATTCTCCTGCCTCAGGCTCCCAATTAACTGGAATTACAGGCGTGTGCCACCAGGCCCAGCTAATTTTGTATTTTTAGTAGAGATGGGGTTTCACCATGTTAGTCAGGCTGGTCTGGAGTTCCTGACCTCAGTGATCTACCTGCCTCAGCCTCCCAAAGTGCTGGGATTATAGTTGTGAGTCACCATCATGGCCATAGTTTTCATTTTATAGATTGAAGTTTCTGATCTGTTTAGAGTTCATTCTGTTGTACAGCGTGAGGTTTAGAGCCAGTTTTCTTTTTTTTAAGTGGCTATCTAGTTGTCCTAACACTGTTTTTTAAAGTCCAGGCTCAAGAGTGGCTGTAATCCACACACTTTGGGAGGACTGGGGGGAGGATCGCTTGAGGCCAGGAGTTCAAGACCAGCCTGGGCAACATAGTGAGAACTATCTCTACAAAAAAAAGTTTTTTGAGTCCATATTTTCCCCAGCAAATTGGTATGTCACCCTTATCATATACTATTTGTTTTCATATATACTTGAGTCTCTTTCTTAGCTTTCTATTCTATTGGTCTGTCTATTAATTTGCCAATACCGCACTAGTAATTCATAGAAACTTTTCAGTCTGTCTGATATCTGATAGAGTTACTCCCCCTTATTGTTCTCTTTAAGAGTTTTCCCAGCTATTTTTACATGTTCTTTTTTCCATAAGAATTTTAGAATTAACTTATTCAGCTTTCAGGAAAGAAACCAAACTGGTATTGTTATTGGAATTACATTAAATTTATATTAACTCTGGAGAAGATTTTGATACCTTTATGATAGTGAGTCATCCTGTCCAAGAACAGGGGATACCTTTATATTTGTTCAAATCTATGTTTGTGACTTTTGGGAATTTTAAAAAGTTTTCTTTATATGGACTTTGTACATTTCTTGTTGATAAGTATATTTCTAAGTACTTTGTCTTTTTTTTGCTATTATAAATACGATTTCCCTTTTATCATTTCTTCCGATTATTGTTTCTGTGTAACAGAGTGATTGATTTTTAACTTTATATCTTGTTGCTTTACTGAATTGTTACACTCTGTTTTTAATCCTTGTTTATCATTGATTCTCTGGGTTTTCCATGTATACTATCATATGTAATCTACAAAAGGTTAGTTTTACTTCCTTTTTACCTAATTGCATTGGCCTATACCTTCAATTTAGTATTAAATAGTTCCTAAACTTACTTGAATCAGCTCTAGTATTTCTCATTAAGTAGGATGCTAGATTTTGGGCTGAAGTATATGTATGTGATTATGTAACATACCTGTCAATTCCTGTTTTATTTTTATGACTTTATTTTTAAATTTATAAACCTCTAACTTATCTGGAATTTATCTTGTTGTGAGGAATAAGGTAGTCTTTTTTTCCTAATGTTTTTTCTTTTCTTTTTTTTTTTTGAGACAGGGTCTCACTCTCTTGCTCAGGTTGCAGTGTAGTGGCATGATCCTAGCTCACTGCAGCTTCGAACTCCTGGGCTCAAGTGATTTTCCCCACTCACCCTCCTGAGTGGCTGGGACTACAGGTGAACACTACTATGCCTGGCTAATTAAAAAACATTTTTTTTTTTTTTTTGTAGAGACAGGGATCTCACTGTATTGTCCAGCTGGTCTCAAACTCCTGGCATCAAGTGATCCTCTGGCCTCTGCCTCCCTAAGTGCTGGTATTACATGTGTGAGCCACTGTGCCTGGTCTTTTTTTGTTTGCTTGTTTTTTTTTTTTTTGGAAACAGGATCTTGTTCTGTTGCCCAATCTGTCTTGAACTACCGGCCTCAAACAATACTCCTGCCTTCCAAAGTGCTGGTACTACATATTATAGGTGTGAGCCACCATGCCTGGCCTTTTTTTTTTTTTTTTTTCTATTTAATTCTGCCTTTTTATCTCTTTGGTTATTTTTTTAGAGACAGGGTCTTGTTCTGTTGCCCAGGCTGGTCTCAAATTGCTGGCCTCAAACAATCCTCCCATCTTGGTCTCCCAAAGTTCTGGGATTACAGGCATAAGTCACCATGCCTAGCCAAATTTCTGCTTTTATCTTTATTAGCTCTCATCTGCTTTCATTAGGGTTGCTTTCTTCCTTTATATTCATCCTTTTTGTTCACAATAAAATTCTTTTAAAGTTACAAATTTTCCTGACTATGATGTTAGGCACATTTCATAAGTTTTGGTATATATTCTTCTCATTTTTGCTATTTTCTAAATAGTCTGCCATTTTAAAAAAAAATTATTTTGCTTCATCTTCTCTTTCATCCAGTTATTAAGAGAGTAGCTTTCAAGTTCTAGTTAGGTAAGGTGTTTTTTATTTAAAATATCATTTCCAGCTTTAGGTCTGTTCTGTTTTTTGGAGTGTAATTATTGAGGTTTACATTGAGACCTAATCCATAGTCTATTTTGATACATCCTTCATGAATTCTTGAAACTGTCATCTTGTAGGATTCAAAGATATCTATGTATCTAATTACATTAATATTTGTTTGTATAATTGTTATAGTAATTATGTGTATCAATTAATCTGATCTTATTTTATTTCTGTCCACTTTGTGCGTGATAAACTTCAAAGTGATTGTTAAATTCTTCCATAACTTTTGCTATTAGTTTTTCTTTGCATTTCTTATAGCTTTTTTAATTAAAAATTTTGATTTCCTAATTGACCTAAAGTTTTCCTGACTTATACCTTTGTTGTGTATTTAGGCCTTTTTCAGTGTAAAATAATCTTCTTAGTCTCAGTTTTAATTTTGGCCTTGAATTAGTCTTTGTTCTTGATATTAGTGCCCATTTTTTAATTGGGTACTCCTGTTCTTGTCTGACTTTTTCTTTGTCATCTTTGCTTTGTCATGACCTTTCTATGTCATCTTGTTCTAGATTTATCTCTTGTATACACTATATTATTTGAATTTTGTTTTATTACCTTATCTGCATGTTTTTGCCTTTTAGGTCAACAGTGTCTTACTCTTTTATAAAATAAATAGATATGGGGAGATTGTTAACATTAATCTCGTGTACACACTATATTATTTGAATTTTGTTTTATTACCTTATCTGCATGTTTTTGTCTTTTAAGTCAATAGTGTCTCTTTTATAAAATAAATAGATATGGGGAGATTGTTAACATTAATCTCGTGCGGGACAAGAAGACTGGGAAATCCAAAGGATTTTGTTTTCTCTGCTATGAAGACCAGAGGAGCACAATTCTGGCCGTTGACAATTTTAATGGGATCAAGGTGAGTGTACTTATTAAGCAGGTTGGTTGGACTTTTTTTTCCCTTGTATAGGGGTTTCATTTTCTACCTGGTTCCCATGGAGACAGGGGCAGCACTTGTCAGCTTGGTGTGTTGCAGGGGCTGCAGAGGTGTGGAGACACTGGTCAAAAAGAGATTTCAGGAAATAATTCTGTTGGCTCGTGGCCCTGCAGGACTTGCTTCTTTTTCCCATCTGTTAACAAATTGTCTCCCCAAGAGCATAGGCACCAGGCCTGCCTCCCCTCCAGGCCTCTGTTTTTTACCTTTCTTTTTTTATTGTCTGCTGTCATCTCTGGTGCACTGGAGAATGAAGAGGCTAGCAAACATTTCTCTTCCATGTTGTCCTGTGTCGGGTGGGTTGGGCTTCATCATGGCCTCATGATCTAGGACATAGCCATGTATGTCTGTCATATATCTCCAGTGACCTAGCATATTGGGCCCTAGAAATTCTCAAGTTAAAATCTGATGACAAATTCTACAAAAATAATTCATTCTGAAATTTTCTTCTCCCAGTTTCCTCTTGTTTCCACTGTCATAGTGAGGCACTGAGTTCCTAGAAGGAGATAGGGCAAGTCAGGCTCATTGATGCTCCATGTGGTCGTTGCACTCACTTAGGAAAAATGCTGCAGTTGAAATGAACAATGTCACAGGGCTGGTGGGGGGAGGCTTGAGTTGGAGAGTTTGTCACTGATTCATGAGTATGGGATAGTTGGATATTATAGAACAGGGTGGAACAAGGTTCTAGGCTTGATGTTTAAGGAAGCCAGCAGTCAGAGGGTGTCACTGTAAAAGGAAGGTTTTCCAAAGTGTTTCAAAATGGAGAAGAGGATACATGACAGAAGCTGCTCAGGCTTCAAGGTAAAAATTAAAATCTGCTCTTGTATTGGAATAATAAAGGCCAAACTTTAAATTTTAGATGGCTTTGCCTAGGGAGTAAGTCTGTATCTGCCTAAAAATAGAATGTTTTTATTTTAAGTGAGGTATTAATTTTTTTTTGGTGGGGGGACAGGGTCTCATTCTGTTGTCCAGTTGGAGTGCAGTGGCATGGTTTCAGCTCACTGCAACCTCTGTTGCCTGGGTTCAAGTGATTCTGCTGTCTCAGCCTCCTGAGTAGCTGGGATTACAGGTGTGCACCACCATGCCCCGGCAAATTTTTGTATTTTTAGTAGACATGGGGTTTCACCATATTGGACAGGCTGGTCTTGAACTCCTGACCTCAAGTGATCCATGCACCTCGGCCTCCCAAAGTGCCACTGCACCCGGTCAGAGGGGTTAATTTTTTGTTGTTGTTCACCTGTAGAGTTGTGATTCATAGTGCAATAATCAGTGTGAGCCTACTGTTGCAGTATGGTGGGGCTAGAGCAAGGCGTGAGGGCTTAAGAAAAAAGAAAGTACCCTTTTCTCTATTCCCTCCTCCCTCCAAACTGTTGGTCTGACTTTGCCTCCTAATTACTGTGTCGAGAAAGCAGTTGTAGCATTAAGCTAGATTTCAAGAATTCCTTCTAGTTGCCAGACCTTCCTAGGGTATGTTTCACTGTAAACTTATGTTACGGATCAAGGGTAATTGTGCATCTAAATCTCACAGTCTTCCCTGATGCTTGTGCTTTGAGGTAGTATTTCCTAGTCTTTTTCATTTTGTGGACCATATAGAACAGGAAGATATTTTTATGATGCCCTGTGGTAAAGTGATGAGGCTGCTGGTACAACTGCCCCAGGCCTCACCTGGCTGCCCTGAGAGCTGAGTGTATTAATATTTAGGTGTACATGCTATGACACACCAGTTAGACAGGTCTGCTTTAGTGACAAAATTTGGCAAGAAGGAAGTGGACATAGTTTAAATCATGGTTCTCTGTAGCTTGCGTTCGGATAGTTTGACACTTTGTTATGAGGGCCATCTTCACTGAAGCATTGCCCATCTTGCTTAGATCAAAGGAAGAACTATCCGAGTGGATCATGTGTCTAACTATCGGGCTCCTAAGGACTCAGAAGAAATGGATGATGTGACCAGAGAGCTCCAGGAGAAGGGCTGTGGAGCTCGTACCCCCTCACCAAGTTTGTCTAAGAGCTCTGAAGATGAAAAACCAACAAAAAAGCACAAAAAAGGTAAAGCATTAAGACCTAAGAGAATATTCTGGCAGCCTTAATGTCTGCTTTTCCTTGCATTCACTGATAGTTGATAACCAACTCAAGTGTGAAAGGGAAAGGTGCAGGGAAGCATAGTTTAATTGGGAAAGGGGGAGTGTCAGTGGAAGGCTGGTGCTATGGGCAGAGTTGTGTTCCTCCCCAAGTTAATATGCTGAAATCCTAAGCCTCAGAATGCGACTGTATTAGGAGATAAGGTCTTTGAAGAGGTAACTCAGGATGGGAATTACCTTGTACAGCAACTTGACATATCAAGGGTGACAGACATCCAAGTTGGCTTCTCAGAGGCACTCTCCTGGAGGCCTAGACAGTGGCCCCTTCATGCTGCTGCTAAGGTTGTTCTCCTTATGCACAGTCCCCATCTCCTAGCATGTGAATGTTTTTGAATTATAGCACCTGTGTTTGATGTAATGTATTCAGAAAAGAAAGGTGCTTTTTTTTTTAAGGGAGTTCTTTATTTTTTCCCCCTTTTCTTATTGACTGCTTTTTTCCTTTATCCTCCAGACAAAAAGGAAAAGAAGAAAAGAAAGAAAGAAAAAGAGAAAACTGACCGGGCGGTACAGGCAGAGCAACCGTCCTCTTCGTCACCCAGAAGTAAGACAGTAAAGGAAAAGGATGACCCTGGCCATAAGAGGCACAGCAGCAAGAACTCGGAGAGAGCTCAGAAGTCAGAGCCCAGGGAGAGGCGGAAGCTCCCCAAGGCCAGGACTGCCTACTCTGGTGGAGCAGAGAACCTAGAGAGGGAGCTGAAGAAGGAGAAACCCAAGCACGAGCACAAGTCCTCAAGCAGGAGGGAGGCAAGAGAAGAAAAGACCAGGGATAGGGACAGAGGGCGGAGCTCAGACACACATTCTAGCCGGCACAACCGGCGTTCCGAAGGGCATAGTCATAGAAGTAGAAGCAGGAGCCGAGATAAATCCCATAGGCATAAAAGATCCCGGCGCTCCCGGGAGCGGGAGTCTTCCAATCCCAGTGACCGTAGGCGTCACTGAGGACTGTTTGGCTGCTCAGTAGATTTGGAAATAATTATGTTTTTTAAATGCAGTCAAATTCAGTTGGGTTGTTACTATTTTTGTACCTAAAACTTCTGGGGCTGGTTTCGTTGAATCCCTTGAGTATTAGAGTCATTGAGAGGGCTGCAGTTTAAACAGCTAGTTATCCTGGATATTCTTCACACCATCTATTGTCCCTGTACCAACGTATGTATCCTGAATTTTGGTTTATAAATATGGCTCTTGAGCCCATAGACCCCAGTTGAAGATGGAATTTTCAGGAAAGGGAAGATACCAGATAATTCTAGAAATCTATTCTTTGTGTTTGATGTTTAGAGCCCAGCATCATGGGACCTTTCCAGTTACTAGATATGGACAGCTTGATGTGAATGACTGGGATAGGATTTCTAAGATCAGCCAGGTCCATCCCCAACCTCCTGTTTAAAAAATTTTTAATATCTTTTCTTTTTCATTAAAACTTTTTTGTTTGATATGCCTCTTTCCACATTTTTTCCTTGTGATATATTTATTATTTATTTGTATTGAGGGAAGATTCACATATAAAGTTAACCGTTTTAAAGGGAACAATTCAGTGCCATTTGGTACCGAACATCCACAGTGTTGTGTAACCATCACCTCTGTGTACTTACAAACCATTTTTTATCATCCCAAGATGAAAGTCTGTACCCATTAAGCAAGAACTCCCTCCCCATTTCCTCCCTCCTCCCTGTCCCTAGCAACCACCAATTGACATCCTGTTTATGGGTTTGCCTATTCTGGATATTTCATATAAATGGAATTATACAATTGTGGCCTTTTGTGTCTGGCTTCTTTCGCTTAGTGTAGTGTTTTTTGTTTGTTTGTTTGTTTGTTTGTTTTAATTTGAGATGGAGTTTGCCCAAACTGGAGTGCAGTGGCACAATCTTAGTTCACTGCAACTTCTGCCTCCCAGGTTCAAGCCATTCTCCTGCCTCAGCCTCCCGAGTAGCTGGGATTACAGGTGCGTACCACCACATCTAGCTTATTTTTGTGTTTTAGTAGAGATGGGGTTTCACCGTGTTGGCCAGACTGGCCTTGAACTCCTGACCTCAAGTGATTCACCCGCCTCGGCCTCCCAAAGTTCTGGGATTACAGGTGTGAGCCACCGCACCCAGCCTAGAGTAGTGTTTCTGAGGTCCATCCACATTGCAGCGTGTATCAATACTTCATTCCTTTTTCTGGCTGTATCATATCACATTGTATTGATATAGCACATTTTGTTTATGTACTCCTCAGTGGGTGGACATTTGGGTTGTTTCTACCTTTTGGCTAGCTAGCTTCCTTTTTGTGTTCCAGACATACCATGCTACCTTTTAGCCTTTGTCCTCTTTTCAAGTAGCTGCCGTTGCTGGGATGGGAACACTGTCAGCTCCATTGTCTGTCTTTCTGGTCTGCCTGGCAGTTCTTTCTTATTTTGAGTTAGCTCTTTCCCTTATCTATCAGTCTCTTAACGAGTTTGGTAGGAACTAGGTCACAGGACCTTTAATAAATACTCCCTGGTAAATTATTGAAGGTCGAATTTCTGACCCTGCAAAATGAAAGACCAGAGCTTTAACAGTGAGTGCACCAAGTTGGACTTCCCTGTGTGTTAATTTGGACCCTTGGTTAGATGTGCAGGAGCTTCTGTGGGGGAAGTAGTGGGGGAGGGTTGAGGAGTCTGGGAAAGCTGTCAGACTATGATATAAGTCTAACCTCTGGAGAAGAAATAGGAAGGAAGGGTGGGTAGGAAAAGTTGTGCAGTTCTAACATGGTTTCAGCAAGACCAAAGTGAGTCGAGACCACAGCTCCTCTTACCTGTCAGAGGAGCTCTGCTACATCAGCTGTGGTAAGCAGGAGTTCTTGCTATTGTCTCTTGGCCTCCATCTCAGCCATTGTCACCGCTGTGCTCATGTGCCTATCATGTCTGCCATAGTAGCAAGTGACAAAGGCCCATGAACTGGGTTGAGTCATTTCATCTGCTTGTTTTTATATGCGGCAAGTAATTGGATCACACAATTATGGGGGCTGGTTAGGCAAACCTAAAATTCATGAAAGAAGAGCTGACACTGGTGTAATTTCTTCAGGGAAATCTCTGTTTTGCTCTTAAGGCTTTCAACCAATTGGTTGAGGCCCGCTCAGATTATCGAGGGTAATCATTACTGAACTGATCATAGATGTTAACCACATCTACAAAATACGCCACTCCCCCTTATCAACGGGATACATTCCAAGAACCCTAGTGGATACCTGAAGCTGGCTAATGCCAAACCCTATATATACTATGTTTTTTCTATACATACATATGATAAATTTTAAATTATAAATTACGCACAGTAAGATTAACAACAACAGTAAAACAGAACAGTTATAACAATATACTGTAATAGAAGTTATTTGAATGTGGTGTTTCAAAATATCTCACGTATGTAATATTTTCTGACAATGGTTAACCACAGGTAACTGAAACCGCAGATAAGGGGGAATTACTGTACCTTTATAGCAACACCCAGATTAGTGTTTGAGCAACTGGGTACTATAGCCTAAGCCGAGTTGACACACAACACTAACCATCACAATTTACTATCTTGTCTGTGGAGGGGGTAAGGGGAGCAGCTTCAGAGGTTTCCACATGGCTGTCCTCACTACGACAGCTCTTACTTAACAGACCAAAGAGCCATGTGGGCATTACTCCCACTGACAGGTCAATTTCAGTTCCACACTTAGGGTAAGGAAATGACCACTGGCTGGGTTAGCAGCAGGCCCACTGTGAGTCTCGTTTTGGCCAGCACTTCAGTTATCACTTGGCCTCCATAAGCTGCCAGTCTAACCAGGGCCATGAGGATGCTTCTTGTCTCTAGATATCAGTCAACTTAGATCTTGGATCCAGTGTACCTCCGAAAGTTTGAGTATTCCTTCCCCAGTGTACATACTCCCAAGTAAGTGGCTGTAGGTCCCTTTGGGGACGCACTGGATGCATCATTGCATACTTGTCATTGTCCTTCTCAGGGATCTAGCCACCTCTTTCTAGACCTGAAAACGGGCTGAACTGAAGTATAGCAGCTAAACAAGGAAGTAGGACTTTTTATTGGGGGAAGCTCCCTCAGCCTCCTGTTCCTCCACTCCTTTTCAGCTCATAGTGAGCAATGCCCTTGTTGCCTGTTGCTCTTAGGGACACTATATTCTATTAGCCATCTCCAGAACTCCCTGAAGGTAAAGCCTCCGTGGCTGTCCTTCAGACCTTGTGGTTCGCTCTGGTATTTGTGGCTTCCTGCCTTCTGGAGATTAAGCACCTCTGGTCTCTCTTACTCTGGGACCCCACCATCCCCATTGACGTTGATGAGCACAGCTCTGTGATGGTCTCTCACTGTCAGTCTTGGCCTGCAGAGGTGGCCACCTCTGAACTTCATGATGCTGGTGTCCCTCTCACCAGTGCTTTCCTGCTGACCTCAGTGCATGGAGTGTCCTCTGCCCACCCCCCCACCATGGAACACTGTTTTCTGGTGAGGTTTTTGACCTCTTGTAATCTGTCCACTCCAGCATGCCCGCTTCCTTTCATTCCTTCCTCTGCCATCTGCCAGGGCAGTTCAGGTCTTTCTACTTGGCCCAGCATTGGCCATTGCTTTCACCAGGCCTTTGAGATCCATCTTATTACAGGCTTCTTACCCTCTATGGGCCTTGCCAGGAGGTTAAATCATATATCTTGAGAAAGGACTCCCAAGTCTGAAGTTTTCTTTTCTGACTCCCTTAATATAGTACCTGTGAAATCCAAACCCAATACTTTCTTGGCTTCTGCTAGCCTATGCCAGCTAATTTTTGCACCTCTTTGGTGTATGCTCCCTTCTTTATTAGGCCTGGTACTTCCTAAGCCAGTTTCTGTTGGGATTAAACCCTAGTTACCAGTTTAGTAACCAGAGAGAGAGAGGGGGGCTGGGGACAGCTGTGAGGGAGGCACTAGTTGCCTAGTATGGGGAGCTGCATCTGCAGCATCTTCCAGCTCTGGGGAAGTGCTAGCTCTTAGTAGGGAAGAGTGGGCCCCCTCTGCAAACTGACAGCTGAACCAGTGTATTTGCAGAGGCAGCACCCTCGGGGGCGTCCGGCTAGATGTTCCCATCCCAAGTCTTTCCAACCACATGAAGTCTTGTGGCCCTGACTTAAGCAGAACAGATCTGCTATGTAATAGATATTGACTGTTATATCCCCCGGACTTGGACTACTTGATCACATCTCCTCTTTGGCTCAGCCATGTCTATTCCTCCACTGCAGGAGATCAGGGCCTCTTTGTAAGCTCCGTGGAAGCCCTTTGGCTCTCTTGTAATAGCCTTTAGCTGCTTCTTAACTGTCACCATTTCTCATTACCTTGTTGCAGGCCATCAAGATAACTTAATACTCTTTTTTTCTTCTTTTTTCTTTTTTTAGATTATACTTTAAGTTCTGGGGTACATGGGCAGAACGTGCAGGTTTGTTACATAGGTATACATGTGCCATGGTAATTTCCTGCATCCATCACCCCCTCATCTACATTAGGTATTTTTGCTAATACTATCCCTCCCCTAGCCCCCCACCCCCTAATAGGCCTTGGTGTGTGATGTTCCCCTCCCTGTGTCCATTTGTTCTCATTATTCACCTACCACTTATGAGTGAGAACATGTGGTGTTTGGTTTTCTATTCTTGTGTCAGTCTGCTGAGAATGATGGTTTCTAGCTTCATCCATGTCCCTGCAAAGGACATGAACCCATCCTTTTTATGGCTGCATAGTATTCCGTGGTGTGTATGTGCCACATTTTCTTTAGTCTACCATTGATGGGCATTTGGGTTGGTTCCAAGTCTTTGCTATTGTGAACAGTGCCACAATAAATATACATGTGCATGTGTCTTTATAATAGAATGATTTATAATCCTTTGGGTATATACCCAGTAATGGAATTGCTGGGTCAAATGGTATTTCTAGTTCTAGATCCTTGAGAAATCACCACACTGTCTTCCACAATGATTGAAGTAATTTACACTCCCACCAACAGTGCAAAAGTGTTCCTATTTCTCCACATCCTCTCCAGCATCTGGACAACTTAATACTCTTAACTTATCTAGCCATCTTCACTATCTTTGAAGGCCTTACGCCTCCCAGATTTTCAAAAGTCTGAGCCAGCATACCTACAAGGCCATTCTCCCAGTTTTCCTACGTTATCTCCACAGAAATCTTTAGCAGTTGGACTACCCCTGTGCCAGTGTCCATTTTACCCAGCAGGCAGTGAGTGAAGCCATCCCAGAACCCCGTCTTGCCATTGCCTGTATTCTTGGACCACAACCAGCACAATTTGTGTTAGTTTGAGTTCTCTGAGAGGCAGATGCCAAGATGAGATTAGATGTATGAGAGATTTACCAGGGAAAACTCCCATAGGGAAAATGGGGAGGGAGTCAGAGAGAGCCTAGATAGATGCACATCTAACCCCTGTGGAGGACAGAGAGAAGGAAGGGTGGGTAGGAAAAGTCTTAGATTGTGGGGTGCAGTTCTCACATTTGTTTTTATTTTGTTTCATTGTAAATCAACAAATTATAATCACATGTATGTATGGGGTAGAAAATGATGTTATGATTTATGAATCATAACACCATTTGTGGAGTGAATA